ATATTTACTTTTTTAACATTTTAACATTATATTTTTATTTTATTTTTAGTTTCAGTTGATGAATATTAGGACTCTTGAGCAGTTTTAAACTGTCCAAAACTATGTCCAAAACTATGTCCAAAACTGGTTTTGGACAGTTCAAAATTGTCCAATTAAAAAAACCAATTGGACAAGTCTAAAACCCAATACTGATATAAGTATATCTTGCACCACATTTTGAATCTTACTACATTTCCAAAAATGGTCAAAGGTTTCTTCTTCTATTTTACAAAAATTACATCTCCAATTTTCATCATATAGATCTGGCTTTCGCTTTTTTAAATTAGCACAAGTTGGTAATTCATTACAGCAAATTTTAATCCTAAATGATTGTAAATAATGATCCTCAAACAATATATCATATTGATTTATGTTATTTAACTTTAAAGATATTTTCCAATCTATCAACCTTAATAGATCTCATTGTCTATAAACTTCATTACGGTGTAGCATTAGGAATTCTTCTATAAATTGAGCGTCCTTTATTCCCTTTATCATAAGGATAGGGTTATGTTCTATAGGCATATCTTTCCAACAAACCGTACCATTGTGTAATAACAATTTATCCTCTATTATTAATACATTTTTCTCAGCACCAGATTTAGCGAGCTTATCTGCTTCTTTATCATGATCTCAATCACTATGCGCTTTAACTTTAGTTATCTTTACTTTGAGACTATAGATTCTAATTATCTTGAATAAACATAACCATAAAACCTTATAATTAACTTTTGATCTTTCTATATCTTTAATCGTCAAAAAATTTAAATCATCAAATATATTAACTACCCATTGAGAATCACTATATATTTCAACATTTGCAGCTTTAGGACAGATCATTAAACTTAATATCACTGCCATTAATTCAGCCTTATTAGAAGAAGGATTATCTGCAATTCCACAATTAAAACTTTTCTTTATAGGAGCACTAATTACAAACGCACAACCCATCATTATTTCGTTAGTCGCTATATTTTTCATCGATCCATCTGTATAAATCTCTATATCAGTTTCTTGCATTAAACTATTTGCAATTTCTATCAACGCATTACGATAATCACTTGGATGTATATATTTGAACAAACCATTCACTTTTTCAATAATACATTCATTCATAGATGTTTTTTCGTAGTATTTACATTCTGCTTGAGCTAACGCCTCGTAAATAGCTATATCTGCTATATAACGATCATTTTGTATTGAATTTGCATTAACTTTAACACAATTCTCTATATTAATATCTGCTATACACCTTACTTTAGTGTTACTTCTTTTATTTCTGATCTGATTCATTTTCACTTCACATCCTTCACATTTTTTAAGGATTGGTAATTGTACTGATGGTGATATTTGATCATTTTCTAGGTCTTGTATCCAATGTTCTATACGAATTTTGTCCTCATTTGGATTATCTAAAACACGCCCTATTATAGGTTTAGTACCTATTTGATCATGAAAGGTTGTTATCCAATTTTTTGTTTTTAAATTATCAATTTTTGTGTTTACACTATGTATATTATATCCTAATTGATAATCAGTTTTCACCTTCTTAGATTTTAAAGGATCTTCAATAAGTTTAGTTTCTATAAACTTGAACCAATTAGGGATTCTACCCTGTGTATTTATCTTAGTTCTGTATTTCAAATCTTTATATCTCAGAAGATGTATACCATCTGACGACATTAACTGATTAACGAAATAAACATTTTTCCCTTTCAGTCCCTTACTAATTCCATTTGTAAATATTTCTTTATGTGTACATATTTCTACTATTGGTAATAATCCCCCTTGAATCTGATTAACTTTCACACCACTTGATTTAATGGTTAACATATTGTTGTATAAGAGCGCTAAAACATGAGCTAACAAATAGTGTTTTACTTGTAAGTCTTTTAGACTGATATTCCATGTTGCTAATGGAGATTTATTAGACAATAATTCACTTTGCAATTGTTTACAATCTATTTCAAAAATATCTTTCATCACACCCTTTGATATCTCTTGATTGTATAATCTACTTAACTGTTTTTGAGCTTAAATCGTATTAATATCTTTAATAGCGTAGCCCAATGATGAATGTATAATACTATTAGGAGTAGTAAGTGGCAATGACGCTTTTCTTTTAAACATATATCTACAGGTAGAGTTTAATTTTTTTGTTTGAGAATTTGTCCAAACTAACAATTGTGCTTTATAGTCAACATGAGGAATGATCACGTGATTATATATATATTTCATCTGCAAATCTGTTATTTGTTTGAAGCTAATTGTTTTATTATATCTTTTAATAATATCCTTACACTGATTAAAGACATAATTAGTTTTTAAGTCTAAATTAATCCAGACACCTAAAATTCTCACAGATTCTTTTGATGTTAATGGTTTAACCATTCTTTTTGACGATTCAAAATTAACTTCAACAATATCTTTATCTAACTTTTTATTCGTTATCATTTCAAACTTATCATAATTTGTTTGTATATTATTCATAATGTTGAATTCATCTGCAATTTTCAAGATCTGCTCTAACTGAGCTTTATTTTTAGTAATCCACGTGACGTCATTCATGTATGACTGTGATGATATATTGATCCTAAGTTTTTCTTCTTGCTCAGATTGTATATTACTTTTAAAACAATGTTCAATTTCATATCTCATTTTTAATGAATTAATTTCTGCAAGCAATGGATCGTAATAAATTGTCTATAGCAGCAGTGAAATGACCTCACCTTGATCTATTCCTATAATAGACGTATATTGTCTCGTTATTCCATTTTCTTTTATAACACTTTTTTTACTATTCGTAAATAAGTTAATCATCAAACAGATCAAAACCTCTGGGATCTTAATTCTTTGCAATGCTAATCTAAGCATCTTAATATCTACCCTATTGTAAGCTTTAGAGAGGTCCTGAAAAGTCAACCATAACTCTTTATTATTCTTCTTTGCATCTTCGATACAAGTATTAATGATTCTTAGAGGCACCTCTGTAGATCCACCAGGTAGTCCCGCGTGATTACCTCCCTTTAATATATTACGCTCTGCAATAACTTTAGATAATCTTTTTGTAATAATTTTCATTAACACTTTTCTTAAAGTTTCTAAAAGTATTATTGGTCTAGTTTTTGTTAATGAGTATTCCCAATCCATTATCTTCAGGATAAGGTATAATAACGCGTGTCTCCATTCTTCAGGGATATCACCAACTTGTAAACATAAATTTGCTAATTTTAACGTGACACTTTTCATTGAAATTCCCATATGTTTGAGCATTTCATTCGATATCTGGGAGATTCCTAGTGCTTTATCATTTGCTAGCTGTCTAATCATATGGTCCCATTCACTCTTACTAATAGGTTGAATGACCTCGTTGTACCAACATTCATTTATATCTTGTTTCGGACTATATTGACGAATCCATCTTCCTTTTAACTTTTCATTTGAATTCAACTTTTTTTCCGCAAATGATCTGAAATATTCGATCAACTCATTTTCTATCAATTCCTCATCTGAAATTAATTGTTTTACTGAATTTTTTTCTATCACTATTTTATTCAGGACAATTTTACTTCTTTTTCTATTCAACGTAGAATCTAGAAACCTTTTTTTATTATCTTGTAGATCCTCACACTGTCGTTGGATATAAAACTTCATTTTCTCTTCTTTATATATTTTACTTTTTTCAGCAAAATTCACTTGAACTAATTTAAAAACTATCTTGACTATTTCTTTAAACTCTTTTATATTTTTATCAAGCAGTCCATCTATGTCTATTGCAAACTTAAGACATATTTCTGTTATTGTTTCATAATGCTTTTCTATAAATTTTTTACACTCTCTATAATTAGTTAAATTTAAACTCATAATCTTTTTTTCTGTTAAATTTGTTAAGATATATGATAGTTTATGTAAAAATCTCTTATAAAACACAATTGTTTTTGGCAACACTTCTTTGTTTGGGTTACCTTTCTTTTTTGGCAATTCACTATTAGCTTTTTAAACGTATCTCAAATTGTATTCCATATTCTATTTATATTATTGATTGAAATTTCTACGCTATTAATTATATCTTTTTCTTTATCCAATAACTTCTCTATTTTTTCTGCATATGTTTCCCATAATTGACTATCTATTTTCTTATAATCCACTTTCAAATTTTTATTATTATGTTTTTTCTTTTTGAATAATTGTTTTGTATGAAACAGGTCATCTATTTAGAAATATACTGTTACAGCTGAATGATCGGTTTCAAATATGTGAACTTTATTCGTAGACACATAGATAGTATCTGATACTAAATCTTCTGTAACCCACATATAATCAATTCTAGATTTTTTATCTGATCTATTCCATGTATTCAATGGTCTATCATGATATATTAAATTAATATCAACCATAACATTCTTTTTTAATATTTGAAAAATACGATCTTTCCAAAAAATTTTTCGATTTGCTCTTTGTTGAGCTATCGCTGTATCATAGCTTGCATTAAAATCTCCAACACAAATTATTTTAGCTTGTAATTTTTTCTCAACTATTAAAATTTCTTCTAATTTCGTATAAAATTCCAAAATTTCATCTTTATAACTATTATTCAAAAAGTTATAAATTGCGATTATTGTGAAACAAATCTTTCCCTTCAACAGTAACGTAAGTTTTAAAGCTTGACCTTCAATGATATTTTTTTTTATAACATATTTTGCATAATCGTTATTCATTATAATCCTGACTCCAGTCGAAAAATGGTTGTCAGCGTCGTATGACCACCAAGTCGTTATATCCTTATAATCTTTATAAATCATTTTCGCACTAGCAGTTTGAAGTTTTGTTTCTGTAACTATTAAACAACTAATCTTATTAATTTTCATATAATTTAAAACTTGTTCTTGCTTAAGTATTGTATTTAGTCCTGATACATTAATTGTTGTTATCTTAAATGTATTTTTAATGTCTATAATACCATCAATAGATGGTCAAATATCTATAGGTTGTACTATCATTTTTGATTATATTGGGGGTTGGTTATTCCGTTATTGAATTCTCTAGCCCTGTTTTCATTGACATATGGTGTTTGATTATTCATATAAAGGTCAAATTTTCCTGTCATATTTGTTAACATACTAAACGCCTGATCCATTTTGGCTTCAAAATTATCTAATCGTTATGTATTTCCTTCTTGATTTTTTGGGGACGAAGGTGATGTACCCAGCGCAGTTGATGGTTCATATATGAACTTTTCTGTCTCAACTATTTTATTTACTTCACTATCTTCTTCCATAGGAGATAATGTACGAGTTTGTACATTTGGCAAAACATTTTTTTCAATATATATATCATGTGTTTGTTGAAATTCTTTTACCCTCTTATTATTATTATTCATGAACATATTATCATCTTTAGCAAACATTAGATCTACTTTTCTATTACTCAACATCTCAGCTTGATTAATATGATTAATTTCTAAATTTGAAACCCTCTCATTCAATTTTTGTATCATATTCATGAATTTTTCCATTTGTCGTTCCAATCTATCCAGCCTATCACCCTCATTATTAACTGGTGTAGGATTAATATTCTGTTGATTCCAAGGTTTTCTTACTGGCTCTTGTGTTTCTTGTTGTTTTTCTTTTCCTTTGTAAGATTGAGATGGACCTTGACTTGAAGTTAAAACATTTGCTCTTACATTGGGTACTGTCTTAATTTTCTTTGCAGCCTCAGCATAACTTGAAAGACCTTGTAACGGCATTTCTTGTTTGACTTCTTCATCCCAATAGGACCCCGGATATCTAATATAAAGGTCATAATGGACTTTTGGCCAAAAACACCCCTTTTTGCTGAAACTCAAAAAATCGTTTTTTGTAAATATCTCAGCATCCAGTAATTCAATTTTAATGAACTTTTTTTTATTTGTAGCCCTCATTTAGCTCTACAATTTAAAAAAAAGTTCATCAAAATTGGACCACTGGATGCCGAGATATTTACAAAAAACGATTTTTTGAGCCCTGAAAAATGGGCCAATCTGCCGAAAGTGTGACTTATGACCTGTTTTGGAGATATCCGGGGTCCTATCCCAATTGTACATACCTTCTGACTTATCAGGTTGATATTGTGAATTTCTAGGGAATAATGGTCTGAACCCCATACTTGGTTTGGATGCTTTTACTCCATATCTACTATAAATCTGTTGATATACTTCATGTGTTGATGACATGTTTCTTTTCCTTTGATTTTCTGGACATGTTCTGACTCGATGATAAAGAGAACCACATACATGGCACGTGACTGCATCATAATTAATGAAAACTAAGCCTCGATTGTTAAAAGAGAATTTCTTTCCTAGGGTATTATTAAGATCGTTCTCATTATCAAAAAAGACAAATGCGAACCTTTCTTTCTCATAATTTTTTGAAAACCTATTCTTAGGTACGAAACATGATTTTGCCTTTATTTGTATGATAATATCTTTCAAATCTGCAGCATATGTACCTATCATACGGGTAAATTAGCTAATTTCAACCCATATTTAAACCGTAAATTCCTTTCGTCCTTGGTTAAGTTAGATGGAAAAATCCTAAACGCGTATTTGCAAAATCTCAATGACCATAAGTCTTTAAATTTTTCTTCCACTTGTTTACCGTTGAATCTAACTACTACTTTATAGTATAAATTTTCAACATTAAATTTGAGGGTTTTAATTGGTCCAAAACTTTTCAAATATACTTCTAACATCTGCTTGTCCACATCTAGTGAAACATCCCAGATTTTAATTTCATAATCATTAAGATTATCATGTTGCTGATTGTTGATTACTTCCAATTTAGCAAATCTTACATCATTATCATCTGCAATTTTCTTGGCACAAACTTCAGCCGCTTGTGCTTCCATTTCATATGTTGCTCGAATCACCTTAATACCTTTAATGGCAGTTGGTGCCAACGAGATTAGCCCAAGCACATCCGAAATTTTCCTATATACGAAATTTTTCTTGGCAATAATATTATCGCCTGGAAGACTATCTTGCGGAATAAAAATACTAAAACGTTGAGACTTCTTAATAATAGTTCAACCATCATCTTTCTTCGCTTCTTTAGAGGTTGTATTCTGACCAGGGTGACTTGCGTTAATTTGAGCATGCATAGAGGCATTTAGCCTTACGTTAGTATTACTATTCGTCTGTATGGGTTATTGAGCTATCGAAGAGCTCGTCGAAGCAGCCGAAGTGCTACTTCCTGAAGGTTAGGTAAATTCTACCCCTTCCATATTACTCTTCCCAAATTCTATAACAAAAAAACAATATTTTTTATGACTTAAATGATAATAAATGAAAAATATTTCTTCAAACTACTAGTGCGAAATTTGTGACCGAACAATTGGCGGGAAGAGTTTTTCCAGTATTTTAACTCCTTAAATATTATACATAATAATTAGTATTATATAATTATTTTGGCTTCTAGTGATTCAATTTGAACAAACTTTTTTTTGTTTTGTAAAACTAGATTTATAGAACTAAATGAGTGCTATAAATTAAAAAAAAGTTTATTAAAATTGGATCACTAGAAGTCAAGATAATTGCATTATAATAATTATTATAATGTAAATACAAATATCTTGGCTTCTAGTGATTCAATTTGGACAATCTTTTTTTTATTTTGTAAAGCTAGATTTATAGAGCTAAATAAGATCTATAAATTAAAAAAAGTTTATTAAAATTGGATCACTAAAAGTCAAGATAATTGCATTATAATAATTATTATAATGTAAATACAAATATCTTGGCTTCTAGTGATTCAATTTGGACAAACTTTTTTTTGTTTTGTAAAGCTAGATTTATAGAGCTAAATGAGACCTATAAATTAAAAAAAAGTTTATTAAAATTGGATCACTAGAAGTCAAGATAATTGCATTATAATAATTATATAAAAATAATTAAATTACTTACATCTATCTTCTATATATTAAAAAACACTGCAATCACGTGGGCGTTATGTTTAGATTAACCATATAAATAAGTCATTTGAATTGTGTAACCCTACTCCTATTCGTCGCCAATGTTACACAAGACCAAAAAAGGAAATTTTTATTTCTGGCAAAAAACTGAAATTTTGGGTTACACAGAATTCCATAAAAGGAAATTGACAGTTACGCGGATTTCCAAAAAAAGGAAATTTTATCTTCTGTTACTTTTCAGAGAAATTAAAAAATTGTGTTGCTCAAATTTCCCAAAAAGGATTCTTTGCAGATCTTTTAATTCTGGCCAGAATTATGCCATTTTAATACATATTAACCGTTGTCATAGACAACGGGTGAACACTAGTTTATATTTAGATATATAAATGTCACGTGATATATATAGACCTAATCTGAAGCCCACCCCTTTTCAAATCAGCTGATTTCTGGCACGCCCCTTATCATACTAATTTTTATATCTTTTATTGTAAAATACATCTAATAATAATAAATAGTAGCAGTATAGTAAATTTAGCAGAATTTTTAATGAATGTAAAAAGTAAAAAGCCAAGTACTTTAAAATGAAGCTGAATTAATGACTATTCAGCAGACATCACATATATAACTTACATTTGAGTTTTAGCAAATTCAATCAAAATTAATTAAATTCATAATTTTAGATAGCAAATTGATTGAAAATTAATTAATAGTTATAATTATGAGTTTTAGCAAATTGTATTGATTTTACAAAATCATTTTATATTTAAGCAAATTGGAACTTTTTTTTTTAACTTCTATAGATAATATTTTAAAAATATTAGTTTTGAGGTCCAGTTATATTTTGGCCAAAATTAAGTATAATTCCGGCCAAAATTGAACATAATGCAGGCCAAAAACCATCTGATTAGTTTCGCAACATTTTATTTTTTAATAATTATCTATATTTAATTTATTATTTTTATTATCGCCATTTTCAAAATGATACGACCTTATAACAATCATCAAATAAAAAAAAACCACTGATTTTTATGAATATTTTCAATTTAACAAATGTAAGGTGCTCTTTCTTTATGATTACTTACAATTTCCCAGCAGTACTTGTGCCGGTAGGCTCACTTGCATCTTTTTTTTAAGTTTTAGAACAAGTTATTATATACTATTTAGAGTTTCTTTTGCTTAAAGTTTGCGATTTTTATAGATTATTACCAATTTCTCTGAATTTTCAATTAGAAGTTTTTCTGACAAGATCTTTCAAATTGCACGTGCTTTTAGTGAAGACCTGAAATGGAGAATAGTTTTTCTTTATTATAATGGACATAATTGTGAAAAAATAGCTATATATTAGTAAGATTATTACTATTAAAAAAGTTCTACAGTGCATATAACTTAGTTCCAGCAATTAAATTTGATGAAATTTAAATCACTACTATTCATTCAAAAAAAAAGATAAACATAAAGTATAAACATACAATGATAAACCAGATTAAGCTTAATAAAACTATGTTTTTAAATTTCCTGTAAAGTATTTTTTAATAAAGTAGTAGCAATTCAAAGTTGAAATATTTTACTATTGAATTAAATATTTGGCCATTATATTCTAACCAGAATTACATATAAATCTGGCCAAAATTACTTTCGTTTGCTAAAATTATATATAATTCTGGCTAGAATTAAGAATTATGACTTAAATTAAATAAATCTGACCAATAAAATTATAGGGTTAAGTATTACATAATATAAAAAATTTGGCCGCTTAAAAATTTTTTTGTTGGGACTAGGTTGTATGCACTGTACAAATTTATATGCGATGGGGTGCAGTAGTAGATCTATAGAAAAAGCCACCAAGACATAATAAAATACTAACTCGGGATGATATGAAAATATTTACAAGGCTATATTGAGGATTTCATGTCTTTCATAATATTTTTTTAAAAAAAATACTCACCTTTTATCACAATTTAGATATTACAAGAATTAGTTAAAGATAAAATTGATTGGTATTTAGATGAATTAGTTGAAGAACTTGAGTTACGAATAGGTAAACTAGTTTCTATTCCAACTTTTTGGCAATCATTGGTTTATTGTAGAATTAATAGGAAAAAGGTAAATTTTAGTAATTCAAATACTATATTGCGTGATTTATTTACTATTTTTTTTTTACTATTTCAGCTAGTACATCGTGCAGCTTATGAGCGAAATAAACTTCTCTGAAGTACATTTATTGCAAAAGTTGGACGTGAATATAAGCCTGAACAGCTTATATTTATGGATGAAGCTTCAAAAGATGAGCGTACTTTATCTCGTGGATATGGGTATTTCCTTAAAAATACATTTGCAACTAAAAAGAATGTATTTATGCGCAGTATACGATATACTATACTATCTGCTTTATTATTACAAGGCATTTATATTGCAGTAGATATAATGGAAGGCAGTTGTATAAAGGAAAAATTTAGAGAATTTGTTATTTCAAATGTAATAGGTAAAATTTTATGATAAAAATTATTTTTTCATAATTTTTATTCAATTGTCTTATCTTCCTTATTTAGGTTCCTCAAATGAATGCATATTCTTCTGAATACAGTGTTCTTGTACTTGATAATGCACGAATTCATCATGACAAAGATCTTATAGAATATATTGAATCTTTTGGTAGGCGTGTTGAATTTTTACCCCTTATTCCCTGATTTCAACCCTATAGAATTTAGTTTTTCTGTTATAAAGTCATTTTTACAAAAATATAGAGATTTTGTTAATTCATGTAGTAATCCTAGATACCCTCTTCTTATTGCATGCACTCAGATTACTTCAAATATGGTGGCAAAATTTTTTGAAGATTCAATTTATATGTAATATATATAAATTTTAGATATTTATATAGAAATGTATAAATTCAAATAAAAAAAATTTAATAATTGATAATTGCAAATTGATTTTTTATTATCATTATTGTAAAATTAGAAAATTAAACTTGAAATATAACATATTACTAATTATTATTATTTATCTATTATAATGTTGTACTGCAGCTCTAATTGCTTTGCGCCACCTAAGGTTGCTTGTCTAAACCTCTTCAAAATCTTACGATTAGTTTCATCAAAATTTTACTATAGATTTATTATAGTTTCGGCAGAGTTTCAGCAGTTTCGGCATTTATAATAAGTTTCGGCAGTTTCACTTTTCTCCAAAGTTTCGCCAGTTTTTTAATATAACTTTAATATAGTTTCGGCAGAATTTCGCTTTTTGGTGAAATGCCATCTTGTCTAAACCCTAGATTTCGGCAAGCAACTTTAGCGCCACCCAATTTTCTTCACTTCTAATTGGTCAAATTCAGTATCAGTAAGATCATAAATTTGACTCACAGAAATACGTTCATCTTCAAATATTTTTTTAAAACTAGCAAATTCTCCAGTACTATCAGATCCATCCAATTTGGCAAAGAATTCATCAAGAGAAGGAGCTGCTTGTTTTGGAGAAGATAATGGTGAATTTACAGAATTATTTATGTTTGAGTTTTGGTCATTTGTGGTAATATAGTGAAAAAAAAGGGCATCATATTGGAATTTGGATTGGTAGAGGTTGAAGGTGTTTTAGATTTTTCCTTAATACTATTTGATTGCGTAAAAATTGGTAAATTTGGCATTTTGGTATTGTTAACTGTACCTCAAATCTAAAAATAAATAAATAATAATTATTTAAATAATTTGACAGTTAATATAAATTAATAAATAATTACAATTTCCTTGACCTAGCATTGAAGATGCATTGCAGTGAGCTTTGTATATCTTTTGTTATCAATAAAGCATGTATCATGTTGATCACATCTGTATTGCTCTTTTAATTCACGAATTACATAACCTTCTTGTTGTATTACTTCAGAAAAATCAGCCAGTTTTGGAACTGAATTTTTTTTTTATGTACATCCACATTTTCACTTCCAGATTCTTCAGAATCTAACACTAAACCTCTCTAAAAAAAATACAAAAAATGTAATATCATTTTGACATAAAAATATACAATAACACTAGTAATTTTACCTTTCTTTTTGATTGTTTGTCTATCTTCTTTTTCTTCTTTAAAGACACCATAATTGTCATGTTTTTTTTCCCATCTGATAATTTTTTGTAATCTGAAAAAAATTTTTTGTAATCTTGCATATCTACTAATTGTGTCCCAAATACTGCAATTTTTTCTGGCTTAAATGTAATCAGATAATCCAAATGTATGATTTCATCATCACCAATTAATTTCTTAACGTAATGATGAACATCAACGAGAATATCATCTAATGATAATACTTCTATTTCCATCCATTTTGATGGTAATGCCGCACTATTAAAAGGTTTTATTACAAGATTGAATGAAATTGTTTGCACTATTTCTTCTAGATTAATTGTTTCATATTCATTGATTAGTTCATTATTTGCTAAATTATTTTCATTTGAATCAATTTTTTTTAAGTTAGGAGTGGATTTTTTTCTTTGAAGGCACTATTACATGAAGAATAAAAAGTAAAATTGAATTTTGTATTGGTATCTAAGAAATAATTAAACCGAAAAATACTTTCTTGAATATATTCAAATTGTTTAGATGGTAAGTTAGGTGTTGAAACTCGAGGATATGCAACTTTTACTCTTTCAGTTCAGTTTTTTTTATTTGCACAGGTCAAAAAGTGAAAAATCAGGCATCAATCAGTCACCAATCGGTCACCAATCAGGTATCTGATTGGTGNACTCTTTTACCATCCCAATAAATGTTATATATTAAATCTTTTTGTTGTGAATCTTTAATATTAATGCAAATTGGTTTTTTTGTGTCATTTTTTGCCACCCTATCTGCTTCTTCATTACCTTTGACTCCTGAATGACCTTTAACTTTTACTAACTTTATCTCTAACTGTTTGCTATCGATAAGGTTAATTATACTACTTACTATGCTGTAGTTGTTGCACTTGCACCTGTCTCTTATACACATCTAGATGTGTATAAGAGACAGGTATTAATCCTAGAAATACGATTTTACTACCATTAGATTCGTCATGTTCGGACGATTCCAATGAGCTATATTTCATCTTTTTCTAATCACTGGATCAAAAGTTAGCAAACTGCCTGATTGGTGACGGTATTTGGCGAAAATGCCAATCAGGCACCGATTGGTGCCTGATTTTTCACTTTTCAACCTGTGTTGGTTTGATTGTTTTATTATATAAACACGTTTTTTTTCGAATACTAAGTTCATTTTCACAATAAAGACATTTTTACAATCAAGACAAGTACTAATGAGATATTCCATAATATTTATGAAACAAATGAAAAATGTGTTTAAAAAACATAAAAGAAAATTTTAATTTTTTATTTTAAGGGGCTGGTAATCACCCTGGTATTCAGTATTTAAAATTAGAAATCAGATTTTTATTATATATGTATTAATCGCACTATTTTGAAAACAGTGATTATCTATAATCTACATATTTTTAATTATAAATTATAAAAATTGACAGTTTAATTTATATTAATTATTTATTATCAATAAAAAAATGATTGTTAATTTTGATAAATTGACAAATTAAATTTACTTTTTTTTTTTTTTTCCCAAGGTAGTGCAATTTGTGAGTTTATTAATTATATGTAATGATACAAAAGCATCTGTTATATAACTAATTTATTAAAACTCCAAACCAGTTCCCCATCCTTAAGATTGCTCTTGTGCCAGGACCCCGCTTACTTCTAATAGAGGTCTCCGAAAATATAAGGTAAAATTTATATTAAAAAAAAATTTTAGGTCTCTTAATAGATAAAGGTAAAATTATATATATGACAAATAAAGGTCTCCGGATATGTAAGGTAAAGTTAAAATAGGTT